ATATCTGCTACTGATTTGAACCTTCTAGGCATGTTAAAGTGATCCTTTTGCCCCAACCAACAGAAGTTGTGTGTGGTCAACCCTGAGAGTCAAACGTTTTTAAAGTTTACTATAATTTTCTGTTAGTGGAATCTGCATATGAAATGCTGTTAATACAAAACTGTGCCTTTTGACACAATCCTCTCCCAGTTCCCACTGATCTTCCACGCTTGAAGTCTACACATATTTTTCTAAATGCATCTTTATGTTAGTGCCCATGCCCTTCTTCACCTCAATACAGGCTACTTCACTGGAGGTTTTCCCATAAGAATTGTCCATGTATTCTTTGTCTCCCATTTTAATCATCCATCCAACTCTCACAACCTCCTAGATTTCACTGTCTTATCAATACTGTGGCCTACTTAAATAACAAAGTTTCTTGTCATGTATCATCTTGCACTGTCTACCAAATTCATCACTCTGAAATCTAGATATTTTCTTATTATTTAGTTCATAAACTTTTGTCACTCTTGGCACATGACACTATGCTTGTTATTTGCAGAAAAGAGCCTGGAATATATTGTTCATTACAAGTGTTGTCTCTCTCTATGCAAGTGTACTCTATGATAGTTGGACCAACACAGTGTTAACTGCAGCATACCTCTTGCTTGTCACATTTCAAGGTAAAGTGTTATTGTGAGCACTTTCATTTATTTCACTTTAATAGTGACGATGTCAATAGTTCCCAATGACAATAAGATAAGTAGTGAATAATGGACTTGAAAGGTTGTGGAAGGGAATGGTCATATTATAACTTGAGTGACTACACCAAGATTTGCCTGAAGGAACTAAGTAAAACCACAAAAAATCTGAGTCAAGGTGAGTTGGGTCTTCAGGCAAAGATATGCAATCAGGACACCTTGAATGTGCCGTTCTACTAACTCATAGAGGAAGCTCGTTATTTCCATTTATAGTTTTTGGTTTGGTATGAATAATGAATGTAGCAAGTCGATTAAATTACATACAAAGGTTCTTTCAGATTTGAACTCTTTCTCTGGGGTTGTTTTGGTAGTTTAATCAATGGCAGTAAGGTGATCCAAGTGTTTGGAACACAGTATTACTAAGTGTTGGTAGGAGATTTTATGGAAATAGATCANAATTTTATGGAAATAGATCACTTGGAAATTTACGTTATAGAAGGGAGAATACCACTGAAATGTATCTCACAGAAATAACTGGCATAGAACAGGGTCAAATTACGATTTTTTGGTGACAGTTACATATTCCTGGATTTTTTTGAATAACTGTTTTGGAGTCAAAGGATATGTGACTACAACTGCCATATTTGTGGGTGCCTTGTAGGTGTGCCAGGAGAGGACTCTTGGACTGTGTCCACTGTACGCAGCTGGAAGTTCTCAGTCTTGGGAGGTGTGGAGGAGTTTTGGGTGCCTATTCTAATTCGCATTCTTTCTGCTCTTCTTGCCACCGTTCTGACAGCTGTGGCTCTTCCAGATCGTGCTGCGTGGAAGCTCTGCTTGTGGGTGTGGTATGTATGCAGTGTAGTCCGTTCTATAGAGATAAAGAATTATAGAGAACATGAAGACCGTAGTCAGCTTAACACACCCACTTGATAGTGTAGGATTACAATGTGGGTCTTGGTTCTGGACTCTGTGATAATTTCAGTTCTCACTCCTGATAATTAATTTGAAAAATGTAGGGAGTACCAACAGGGCCAGATTAATATTTTGTGAGACCATAACTAACTGACCTCTAAGTGGCCTCCATAATCTAGGTGTAACGTTCCCACCTCATGACTCAAGGTACGCGGGTTCAAACCCGGCAGAGGTCGTGGAATTTTTAAGGGCGGAAAAATTCAGGGAACAAGTCCTCCGGGAGGGACTTTAAGCTGTGGGTACCGTGTCATAGGTTTACAGCACGTAAAAGATCCTCATGTCTCTAGGAGACCTCTGAGAAAAATTAGGCAACAATTTCCTGCCCAAGTAGTTTCCAATGCCTCTGGTAGATGGGGGAAATATCAGGTACCGACAGCCGATCTCGTTGGCTGAACGGGACTGATAGCAGGCACCAGTACCGGTAGGGCATGGTGACAGTAAAAATTAAAGGGTGACCAATAACTGGTCTAAGGGCATGGGGAAACCCACCCCCTCTAATAATAATAATAATAATAATAATAATAATAATAATAATAATAACTGAGCTCTTCTTGAGAAGCCACCAGCTGTGCAGTTACTAAAGAATTTCCTTATATTTTATGGAACCCAAAGGTTCATTACTGTGTTCACAAGAGCCCCCCACTGGTTCCTATCCTGAGCCAGACCAATCCAGTCCATAGCACCCCACCTTGTGTGGGTGAGTTATAAGATGAAATTTGGATTGGATGATTGGATTTATTGCCCACTCCACGCACAATGACTCATAATTACAATAACTCACAATAATGAGCTGAAGTCTTCTTCCATGACAGTCTAGGACTGGACCCTCTCTATTCTGATCTCAGCTCAGTCGCTCTTCTGATCTGATCATGACTATCATTACTATAGAAGAGTGTAATAAAAATTTTTGCACTTGAAAGAGAGGGAGAGAGATAATAAGAGAATGGAAGGCAGGAGAATTAAATAAACTTTAAATAAAGAGCAACTTCACACATGATTATGGTGTAATGAATCAACTGCTGCCATGAATATTTAAAGTATTACAGGAAGTTCTTTGATGTTTATAAATGTGGTATTTTGTTGCATGGTCTTTCACAGTTTTAAAAGTAATCTTTCTTGGAAAGGTACTCGAATGTCTATGTGCATCTACTACAAACGGTGGAGTGGTACTGGCTGCCAATTGGAAATCAGATGGAACATCGACGCCAGTATCCAACTATAGATCGCCAAGGGCGTGACTGGTCAGGTCCTTGTTCAATCTGCCTGGAATCTATCAAACCTTGCACTGCCACTGCTACCACCTGTGGACATATTTTTCATGGTGAATGCCTCAAGAAATCTGTTGTAACCAATGGCAATGTCTGCCCTCTTTGCAGGTGGCCTCTTGTTACAATGACATCCATTTAAACAAAATTTGTAATCAACTTTTACACACACTATGTGAAGCCTTTTAAAATCTATAGCATGGGCCTTTCAATGGTGCTATAATCTGTTTGGCAACTGTTGGTGGTGTATCTCTCATGCATATTATTTCTTAGGCAGTGAAATGCCTCCTTATTCTTTTATAAAGCTGTGATAATATATATTAACATATGTGCCCATACTCCCATGTCTTTAAAGCTATACTCCCTTCCAGTACACCTTCATAATAAATACATACTCTATTTATTGAAATCAGATGCAGTTTTGTCTTCCATACCTTAATCTTCTGAAACTTAAATTGGTGTTTAAATAACAGACATACTCATATTTTAAAGCAAAAGTGGATTTCACGAAATTTAATAATATATGACGCACCCAGGCCTGAATTCCTGGCCCTGTTTTAATGAAAGTAGGAGAAATGAAAATGTTATAGACAACAGATAATGCTATCTTAGAAGGGGATGTCACAGAAAACTTCATTAGCCCAAAAACAATAGTAAGTTTTATGAAATTGACAATCAGACATCATTTCAATACACATTTGAAGAACTTGCATTATATGACAGTACTTCTTATGAAATTAAATGTGTTATTATTAAAATATATCTGACATGACTAAAGAGAGATAAAGTATCTTAATTTTCAATATATGTCAATGGATCACTAGATCCTATTCTTCTTAAGGCTCATACATGCTGTATTTGTTCATTTTCTCTAAGTACTGTCTGACACACTGGAACAGAATATCAGATATGATAAAGCAAGGAGAATATGGCATTTAAGAAGTTTGTGTTAAATCCTGTCTCATTACTCTACCTGAAAAGCGTTCCTTGCAGTAAATGGAACAAATAAATACATATGTATTAATTTATTATGTTATCTGAAAACAGTTACCCCCAACATGTATACTGACAACTTGTAACATCTGCTTGAAACACAGCCATTAAATTACCTAAGAATCAATTCAGTTTATACAGAAATGGCTCCTTATGCCATGTCCTGGCTCACAGAAATCAGTATAACTTATACTAATATTATTTAAAATGCAAAAATGATCAACAGCAAACAATGCAATCTGAGATATGTAGAGAATATGCTAATGAAAATGCTTGTTAATCAATCTGGTATCTCTTTCACAAATTTCAATGAAAATAGAAAATTATTTACTTAACATGCCAATACTTAGAACAGGCTTATACATTCCTGCTGGCTCCCTCCCAAATTCCATAAGAGTGAAAGAATGACATCACATATTTCTTTCTTTATTTACCATCATGGCACTGCATGGTGATCACTTTAAGCACTAAATTCGCAAAATAAAAATTAAGTACAGAGATTTTGGTATACAGTATAAAAGATATGTTAAGATGCTGAGCAACCAGAGTAATATAACGAAGTATTCAAGGTTTTATTAAATTTCTACTAGTTAGATATGAAGTTCTGCTTTTCAAATTGGCAACGTATCAGTAAATGGGAAGGCGGTCAGTTAGGAATGTTTTCTTCCAGCCCAGCCACTCGTCAACACCTAAGGGGATGAGGAAGTGGTCATAAACAAAAGACGGGGGAAGTAAGAGTGTAAGCACCCTGGAATGAAGGAGGTACTCAAAGAGAGGCTGTGGTCATGGCAGATGTACACTTAGTTCCATGCATGAAGTGTTTTAGGAAGTATGCCAACTCCTTCAATTTGAAGAATGGTTGTTGTTGATGTTGTTGTTGTTGGAGAACGAGCTGTGTACTGTGTTAAATGAATTCCACGTGACCAATGAGTTAAGCCTGTTCAAATGTACTAGACGTCAGTGTGTGTGATTTATTTAGTTAAAAACAGTGAGTCACCCTTCCCATATAGCCTCTCAGTTTTGATCCTCTGATTGCATAAGCTCACCCTTCTGACATTGCTGTATTCCTGAGACCTGACATGCTTGACTGAGTTTCAAAACCCTGCTCTCAACACCATTTCCCAGAAACCTTTGAATCACATGTCAATCAAAGCCATTGGAGCCTGACCACCAAGGGAATGAGGCAACCGAGTTGGAGTGGGCATAGCTGGGCACTGGGATTTGTGTAAGCAGGTGACAGGGAGAGGACTGCCTCTGTGATCTAGTGGCCAGAATTCTTGGCTGCAGATCCAGAAGTCTCGGGTTCAATTTCCGGTGCTACCAGATTTCCTGTGAAGTAGTGGGTCTGGAATGGGGTCCACTCAGTCTCATGAGGATAATTGAGGAGCTACTTGAATGAAAAAGTAGTGGCTCTGGTCCAGAAAACTGAGATTAACAGCTGTGGGGGTCTGTTGCGCTGACCATGTGACACCCTCTATCCACAAAAGTTGGCACTGACTTCGCTGACAAGTGGCAGTCGCTGGGTCCGTGTATTTCGCTTGCGGACTAAAGGCCACGGAGTTTGTTTTTGTTTTATGTTTCTTGGTGACAGGGAGAGTTCAGAACAGCTTGCCAGACCTGGTGGCCAGTATTCCATTACACCAGTGGCTGATAAATGATAGAAACTTGAGAGATGGGTTTATATGTGTGTGCGTGTAAGAATATTGAAATATAGTGTCACATAATATGGGCCATTGCTAAGTAACGGTTAGGTAAACACTGACCAAAACTTCGGAATAGCGACAAACAAGTAGATTCCCATTGCTAGTTAACGGCTCCATAAAGAATTTCCCGCGAAGGCAGATTCTTGGTAAACAGTCCGTTGCTAGGTTATGCAACAATTCTGACAACGGGAGAAGTGTTTTCAATATGGTCTGCACCATACCCAGTGCTAGGCAACAGAACTATAAACATGTCTACAATAATAGAATGTTCTTTCTATGCGTGGTCAACTTTTTGCTGGAAAATGTAACATTAATACTTAAGAAAATATGCAGTTTTAAAAAATATACTTGAACAACACACAAGGCAGATATGTTGTCATAAATATAACAATGTATATCATAATAGAAAAAGACCAATTTTCAGATTCAGGCACACTGGTCTAAATGTTCAAAATACACAGCATGAGGCCACATCACTGACCAACACAAGATATATCTTGAATGTAGAACAAACATGACTAGAAAATTGTTCCTGCATTTCTTAAGGAATCATAAACAATTTTATACACAAACATAAACTGGGTCAAAAACAAGAAGAGCCATTAAATTAGTACATACAAAACACAATGATGCTTCAGTGTGATATTACCATGGAGTGCAATTTACTGTCCAAAGTATTATCATATTATGCAGAATATCAACATTCTTTACGTTAAAGACTTTCTAATAACCACTTTTAAACACAGCAGAATGCAATTTTGTGAAATCAGTGCTCATATTACATAACTGATGAATTCTTCAAATAGGTTTAAGACTTTGGTGAATGCCATATAATTCAGCATCTTTAAAAGAGAAATTAGCCACTTCTTACCTCCCTCCTTTGATACAATCACAACAGAAAAGACCTCATTTCTTGGATCTATAATCAAAATATAACAAAGAATAAGTTACTCTTATCGTCCAATGATAGTTGGTTCATCTGCCATTGCAATCTCTTCAGTTGGTGCCTTGTTTCCTTTGCGTTTACGTGAATAAAGCAAGAAGGCACAACCAGACACCAGTAACATTATGAATACCAGCCATGCAAGAACAATGGAGAAGCCATAGGAATAAGTGGCACCTCGCGGAAATGTAAATGGAAGGTGCTTTCGCTCATATTCAATGGAGTTGATTAGAACTTCAATCACTGCCAGAACACAGCCACCTGAAACATCAAGACAAGTCTCTATAAAGTAGTTTCAGCACAGGATGAGTCTACAGCAGACTACTGGGTCCAATGGCATTGACATCAATGGAAGGAGACTTGGTTCATAGCTCTAAAGAATTTCTTACCTCTAGTCCCTTACTCTGGTTTCCCTTTGGTATGCATAAATCTTTTGCCTTTTACCTGTAGTCCCTTCAGAACATATTACTGTACAACTTGCAGTATACACCAGGTGATTTCTATTAGGACACATAATATTGCTGAAGATGTTAGATGGAGTAAAATATTTATCTAACTCCATGGAATAGAATTTTTTTCACATGATAGCCACTCAGCGATATGTTCTGCAAATGGTACCAGGGAAGATCCTTCAAGACAGGGAGAAAGTCTTGGAATATGCTGTGGTTAATTGTAGATTAAGTAGAATAGTGAATATTTCAAATATGTGTAGTTATGAATGATAAACATTCATTAAATTCAATAAAAAAATCAAAACCCTGTGTCTTCTCATAAACATGTGAGAGTAAGTATATATCAGTTTTTTCTTCACTGCAGCAATAATATAACAATTGATATGATTGCAGCAATAATATAACAATTGCGGTGCAATTAGGTAACAACATTTTGAATTATTAAAGCACGTTTTTCAATTTGTATTACCTATATAGTGTTCTGAAAACCAATATATACATATTCCTGTACACACACGCGCGCACGCACGCACGCACACACGCACACTCACTCACTCACTCACTCACTCACTCACTCTACACACTCACTCACTCACTCACTCACTCACTCACTCACTCACTCTTTCACTCACTCACTCACTCTCTCACTCACTCTCTCACTCACTCACTCACTCACTCACTCTCTCTCTCTCTCTCTCTCTTGGCTGCCTGTCAGTGACCACAAGGATTTTTTTCCACCATATTCATGAACATTTTCCAAGAAAAGACGAAATGCTTATAATAATGTGACATATTTGCGCTATGCAGGACACTCCCCTTTCAGCGGTGTCATAACAGCATCAGAGCAACTGCTGCTGCTACGGTAACAGGCCAGTCAACACTGTCCCCCTCCCCCGTGGTGACGTAACAGGGTACACCGCGGTTACTACACAGCTATAAACAACTCTCGGCAGTGTTCCCCAGCAACACCTGTAAACACGGTGTCAAGCCACAGGGGAGCCCACGCAACAACTGTTGCTAGGCAATCGGTAAACATGACGTTATGCAACAGTGGTCCCTATCACTTAACTGTTTTCTTTGTTGTCCGTGCCGAACCTAAATAAGGAGCAGCGAACACTATTCAGTAGTGAGTGAGTAGTGAGTTACTAGAGAGAGCGAGTAACCAGTCAGTTGCAGTAGTATTCGCCGGAGTGGGTTGAAGTCCATTGTTATCGAGTGAATGGCAGCAGTAAGTGTCATACTGCCAATGGCAGTAATTGTGAAATTGTGAATTGTGTAGCTGTGAGAGCGAATGTGCAATAATTCACTAGATCCAGAACAGCGTAAAGTTGTTTGTCGCATGACATATACCCAACACATGACAATAACAATCTCTCTTCGTATCAGCTAGCAGTACAGGGCAAAATGATTAACTGAACAGCATTTCTTCCATTTGACCTTGAGTTCCCCAAAATACAATGGACTTATCTACATAGATTTGAGTTAGATGCCAGGTTTGGCATCCTACTTGTTGTGTCAAGTGACAGTCAGAATGTCCTACGCGTTTGCTAGAGATTAATTGAATTGAAGGCAGGTAGTTGGCATCTCATTGTAGTTCGGTGCATAGCTTTTCTTTGAAGAGACAGCCAGATTCCATGAAAAGTCAGCCCACTGGTCATCCACAGTATGTCATCATCCAAGAGTGAAAATTGTTATTTACAAAATATTGTGAAAGCATTTCTATCATTTCCATATTTTTATTCACTACTGCTTTGCTCAAGAGTTTAATTTTAACATATTTTTTAATTTAGACATTCTTTTATGATAATGTTCTGGAATTTAGTTTTTTAAAAAGCTCATATGCTTTCATTTTCCTAGATTTGTTTCTTGACACTATGCCAAGGCAGGTGATTAAATTAAACACCTAAATTTTAATCAAGGATATTATATTTAAGCATCCTGTTACACTCTACACAATGTATGGCACAAACTCCGTCCTAAGTGCAACAATTTGTTGTAGTTGGGTATTAAAGATAAGCAGCGGCACACACACAGGGAGCCTACACAGAATAATACCTGAATGGTGCTGAAAGCAAGAAGTAGCCGCTGCAGCACTGTAGACCTAGAGCAGGTATCCCTGTGAATTTTGAATTTTAACTTTAAAATTTAAAAAAAAAATTTAAATTTAAATTGAAGATTTTAAAAATACCAAAATTAAAAAATCAAATTGACATATGTAAATTAACAAAGATCTTATACATATCTGACACATATCAGCAAGGGGATTCTGATATATCAGGACCTATTAACAACTGAGAAATGAACAATTAAGAAAGCTGGTGTTTTTAAATTTTAAACTGCGTGCAGTGTAACAGCTACGTGAGAGTATACACCTGATGATGGCCATTTACGGCCGAAACATGTCGTGTAGAAGAAAAGAAGACAAAAGAACTACAATAAATAGTTGCACTTAGGATGGAGTTTGTGTCATACATTTAATCTAGAATATTTTAAAATAACTAACTGTATAAAATGTCATCAAAAATGAAGACAGTGTTTTCCTTTATCATTGAGGGTATAATATCTGGTGAAGCATGTAAAGCACTCAACATGCTGGGCAGAGGAACCAAACTTTTCATACTTTATTTTGCCTATTACATGTGCCACATTTTCTGTGTTCACTTTCCAGTGAGAAATGTGTACCAATTTGTTTCCTTTCAAATTCATAAGATATTATTGTAACAGGTAACATAAAATGTGACTTGAGAGCAACATAATTGATAGAAACTACTTCTTCACAGTCTAGGTTATATATTCTTGTTGGAATACTGCATTTTGTCTTTCCAAGTATACAAATATGAACCTTTCTTCATTACTTATAGATATCAACAAATTCAGTTCATTTCTTGTATAATTTCCTAAATTTTATCTTTCCTTCAGCATTTTTCTGAACTATTTCACTTTACTGTTTTCTTTTTGTAACAGGACTAGGGACTCTAATCTTAACACTTGCAGGATGAGGAAGTGGGGCAAGTGATGAAGGGATTGTCAAGGGGGTAAGCGATGGAAACCAGTCAGCCTACTGTGTAGAGCATTAGTTCTGAATATATTGCCCACTAGCGTACTTGTGTAGGGACTCAAGTAAACTCAACTAAAGCACTTCTGTTTTGGCTCAGGTAGTAGTTGCTGATCGATGCTGCTATAGACAGTGTCATGTAACTTCGAACAAGGCCCACATTCCTAGTCAAATCCTGCGCATGGCTTGTGGTGGGAGGAGTTTCTTAACACTCGTTCTTCCACTGGCCGCCTGTCACTTACACATCCTCCACCCCATTGTCTGAAATTTTTCTTCTGCGCATTCAAGGTTACTCTTGGCCTTGTTCGAAGTTATGTGACACTTGCTATACCATTCCTTTAATGATTCTGACTTCCTGCATTCCTCACAACTCTCAAGATTAGAGCTGTGTATTGCATACATGCTCATAAAGAACATTTGTGTGAGAAACAATGAAGTATTTACAGTACTTTCTACACAGTTGATATTTTAGTCTGTATAAAATTAATGTGTAGCAAACTGTGCGTTGCAGTGCCAGTATTGTGTCTGCTGTCACATCACATGGGTTGCTGTCATCACAGACAGGGGAAAATTATAATTTTATAATGGCTCTGTTTGTGTTCCTGGAATTAGATGTTGCAAGAATATAAAATTAATTAGTTAAAGTCGAATATATCATTAGAATTAAAAGAGAACCTTCAATTGCACATTCAGATATGCCAGTATGATAAGAATCTTCCCCCATTTGCACTTAGCTACATTTTGTTATATTCTGATCAGTAATAACACTGTGAAATATCCAGCATAGGTACTGCATGGATTGCACATAAGAGGGCGTGAAAATTAGTGAAATTTACAGAACAATGACAGTTCAATATAATGATAATTGTATGATGTACACATAATTTCATGAACAGATAGAAAGATTCAAAGGAAAGTGGATAAGTTGATGATACACGCTTTGAGCAGTCACTAATTTAGCAACTGTTTGGGTTAAGCAGCAGACCGATGAACATACTTACTTACTTACTTACTTACTTATGGAGCTGAGCCCTTCTTGAGGAGAAGCCAAATGTTCATTACCATGCTCACAAGAGTCCTCCATTGGTCACTATCCTGAGCCAGATCAATCCAATCCATACCATCCCATCCTGTCTCTCTAAGATCTATTTTAATATTGTCCACCCACCTACGCCTTGGTCTTCCCAGGGGACTCTTTTCTTCTGGCTTTCCCACCAATATCTTATATTCATTCCTCGTCTCCCCCATTCGTGCTACATGCCCTGCCCACCTCACCCTCCTTAACTTGATCATTCTAATTATGCTTGGAGAAGGAGAACATACAAGTGAAAAATCAGCTTTGGTGAAAATGCATATAAAATGAATAACAGTCATGGAAAGTAACAGTGTGGGAACGACTTTTGTTAATTTCAAACTGGTTCAGTAACAAAATGACATTCTCCCATACCAACTTACAATATTTTCATTAATCCTTCATGGCCTAACACTTGAGTTTGTTTTGTGGTCACAATACAATATCAAATAACAATATGCCCCTTACAATGGGGCAAGGGCCAGGTTTAAGGGAGCCACTGGTGTGGTTGCCCTAGGCACTCCACAGGACAGGAACAGAAACAGGATACATATATTTTATAGGGACCTTTGCTTCTCTAAAATCTTGAAAGACAGTCTGTGCTTTAAGTTAACATAACAAATGAGAATAACAAAATTGTCATAAATTAATTTGTTACTGAGAGGGGCCTCCACAATTTGATTGACCCAGGACCCCACAAATAATAATCTGGCCCTGTCAGGGGCAAATGAAATATATCTTCTATTTACCAATCAATGTGTCCCTTCATTTAAATCCAGGTACCAACAATCCATTCACAATTACTTACGAATATTTGTGTTTGTTTAATAATTAAATGAATGAAATATATATGCTTACATCATGATTACACACGGTAATTGGAATAATGCACCAATGTCAGGCTCACTCATACTCGTTTTTACGGGAAATATTACTCTTCTGATATAATATGACTGCCACAGTCTAGTCTCATGCTGAGAAGAGAACAACTTCCAACATGGGGCTCAACCTCAACAGTTTAGGAGTTACATGTAATTGTGACTTACACGTCAGGAAATGAATCACTCCTGCAAGTCTCTTGAACATATAGCGAGGATTGCGGAATGTGTAGACTGAGAAGATGAAACCCAGGATCATTAGCATGAGGCTTATGATGGAGAATGATGCTTCAGACCTGGTGTAGTCTGTACACAACAAGGATATAAAGAGTTAAACTTCAGACAATAATGTGACTGCAAGGTCTGTAAAGAAAAGTGTATATTTGACATCTTATTAACTAATATCATGGAGCAGAAGCCTTGTGGAGTTCATAGTCACTCAGCTGGTCATGAAATTCTCCACTGCTCACGCAAAACAAAGGTTCATTACCACTTTCAGAAGAGCCTGTCGCTGCACTGTATCCTGAGTCAGTTGAATCTAATCCATGATTCACACTTCTCACTTTAAGATGAATTTTAATTTTATAGTCATTTCTATGTCTCCCAGTCTCTAGTGATATTTCTTCATCATGATGATACAAGTGTTACTACTTGAGTCAATTTTAACTCGATTTTTCCATCTCATATTCTTAATTAGATTACCCTAACAATATTTCGTGATCACAAATTATTAATCCTCTCATCACATACTTTTTTTTTCATTCTTCTGCAATTCGTCTCTCTTAAGCCCAAAATATTGTATTCGGTTTGTAACTTCACGAAGTACTTTAATGTATGCTTAGGAATTTTAGTAATAGATTTATTGTTTATAATGTCAAGTTTGCATACTAGGAGGCTTGACTAACATAACGGGTCCTACATTGGATGATTGTGTTTACAGGCACTTTGGGTATAGTCTTTCTTAACTACAAGCAACACAGCGCTATCGCTGATTTACACACTTTAGAGTACAAGATTGCACACGCACTAGGATTCTCAGTCTTCACTAGTCGTATCCTGGCAACGGAATTAAAACAGTCTCACTGTGACTAAATCTTCCAATCCCATACTAAGTCTTCGCAGGCCAACCTCTAATTCTTCTATTATTACGAAATTCCCATGGCTATCTCCTACTGACAACTGACTGAATTCCAAAGTCAAAGTCACATTGTGACTGACGGTCAGCCAGTCAGTAAGTCTTGGTGTCAAGCACCATCTGGGGCTCCTGACCAGATATTTATTACTCTTTGACAGTTACAGCCTTTTTGTGGGGCGCCCTCTCTGACGAGAGGACGGGTTTGTCTTTTGTATATGCTGCTGGCCGATGTCAGCGCAATCTTTATCGGTTCCAAGTCCTTTAGAACCCGCGACCATATTTTACTGTTTCAGATTTGAGACTTCCCTTTTTGTCGCCTCCTACAACTCGCAGGGTCGCGGCGGAGTTATTCGACCCCGCCTCCAAATGGGTTTGACTGAATTCACATTCCCGCATTCCACTACAACCTCTGGGCACTGACCATGCATAGAAAACATAGGTCACGTGATTGCTACCCAGCCAGTCCATTTGCCCGCTGGCTGCTGTCTAGCAATGGTCTCAGTACGGACCTACAGAAAACAGGTCACGTGACCTCTACCCACTCTTGTGTGACGTTACCACGGACACAAAGAAAATACTGCTCCAGTATTATTGGCAGCGTGAGTTACGGGCGTTGCCTAGCAATGTATTTACATGTTACAATATAATAGTAGGCTTCACAATTTTCAGTTTCTTCCCATCAGTCTATAAAGTAAGTCTAAATTCTTCATTTCACGGAAAACTTTTATGTCACGGTGTTCTTCGGGGAGCACAGGAAAAATTGATTCTATTTCACGATATCATTCATGCCAGGAATAATATTAAGTTCTATTATGGTTAGCACATATCAGGAAATAACATTAAAACAACAATTATTACATCATATATAATGGGACAAAAGATAAATAAAAACAAATCAAATTAACCTGCTGAAACGTGAAAAGGTCTTGAAGACCGAAATTTGTTTTTTGGGTAGGACATACCAAAACTATAACAAATATATCAAATGACAATATAATATATTAAATACTAAATGCGAATACAATGTAAGTCCCTGGAGGAAATAGGCCTCCGGCAATCAACCAATCAAAATCGTACAGACCAGGAAAAGAGTGAATAGACTGAACATTTCAAGCTCCCACAACAGAGTGGATCGCTCCCGTGGCCGCGCCATGGCTCAAGCGGTTAGTCGCTGGCTTCCCAGAGCGGCGGCACGGGTTAGGTCCCGGGTCTGGTCAAGTGGGATTTGTGGTGGACAAAGTGGCACTGGGGCAGGTTTTCTCCGAGTACTTTGGTTTCCCTTGCCAATCTTCATTCCACCAGTTGCTCCACAATCACCCTCACCTGTCATCTGGGGCTGGTACAATAGGCCAGAAGTGGCCGCAGTAAAAGGGACTTAGTCCCACCCCACTAGCAATAAAAAAAATCACTCTCGTTGGACCTCAGCCGGCCGGAACCAGGAAGTGGAACAGTGGAAGGGGGAAGGTAGTAAAGGGGGGGGGGACGCCCTCTGACGTAACGCAGACACGGCGTTACACTGCTTAAGAAATGTACGTAGCATGTGGCGGGTAAGCCTGATGCCCTAAGCAAAGAATCTTCAATATTAGGTCTTCTATTTGGCAACCGAATATTATCCGGATGGAAGTTTCGTTCATTATGTTCATGTACTTTTTTTGTGTGTGCAGATATTGGGTGGTTCAGTTACATATATACACGTATATCGAAGAGTGGAATTGTAAGGAAATATGTGTGATATCTGGGCAATCACGTTGTACTTTTACCCAGGATTTGATTAGGTTGTGACATGATGATTCTAATTTTAAATCTCCATTATTCGTACACGAGAATTCAATATATTTCTCCATGTTTTTTCTACTTAAGTCCATGGCTGTATTGTTAAATGGACAGAGAATACAGTCACAAATTTCAGTTTCAGGAGGAAAATAGACCTGCTCACTGGAACTAGATCCGAGTCCACGCATGCTGAGCTTCAGGCATATCATCCTTCATTTCGCAATCAATCTCGACCTGACTCTTTGAGAGGAAGCTGTCCGGGGTGATAAGCAAATAATTTGAATCTTTTTTATGGCTGAGAACCTAAAATCAGATCCCCCCATCTGTGTATTTGTCGTGAGCAGAGAAAACTGTAGTGTCTGTCTTTAGATGGCTCAGGTTTATCTCATGTAATATGATAAAAAAAATACCTGCCAAGAATGCAACATGTTGCGCCGTGTGTCCTGATGCAGTAAGGCAAAGGAAATGTGTGGGTCTAAAAGAATTGGTTATTTAAACTTCTGATGGCCGCTTTGTACCAAGTGAACCAGCATAGAACCATGTCCAGTAATAATGAAGAATTTCTAATTCATTCACATATCACAGAAAGACGCACGACATTTATAAAGTTCACCATATTAACAATTTTAGTCAGCCTGTAAAGCATTCTCTTTGTGGCGAGTTGCTAGTGGTGAATAACACAATGAAAGCTAGTTCACTGAGTATTTCAGCTTTATATATCCCACTGAACTAGTCACTCCTCTGGTTTGTTCGTGTACACGACTTACATTTCTGGCATGAGATTTAATTTTCATCGAAGGAATCTGCAAATATTAAACATTAAATCGCAATTTTAAGTGTGGGCAGCCACTATAGGAAAGCCTTGTTAATTTCATCGTCACTCAAACGGTGAACAAATTCTGCAAGGACTGCTGTCCTTGTCACATCTGCTGATATCTTTAATCACACACGTAACAATTATTTGTAATTTTTGCTTATCAACAATGAGGCGACCTATCGTGTTGCTGAACAAAGGAAAATAATCGGTTTTCCTTTTGACGATACTTCATTCCACACTACGCTCGCACCATCCAGAATGCGGGGCTCGACAATTTCCAATAGCTCATTACTCTCTGTAACTCTGGACAGCAAGAATCCTTGCACTATTTTTCAAGTTGTCACAACCTTTGGCAAACGAATCTGAATGTTGCCTCTCAAGATGTGTCTTTATTTTGGATTGGATGAACAAGTTGTTTTGCAAGATTGTAGGACAATTTTCAGACGTCGCTGTCCACGTTTGGCCGAGAAAGAGAGAGAAAATTTGTCGTCATATTTTCTTTTAAGAGACCGCCTACTGGCTTCAGGCAGCATGTTCCTGGTGACGTATTTGACACCAGTTAATTCATTTCCAACACTTGCACTCTCAAATTGCTAAGGTTAGCACGAATAGACGGAAAATTTTCTGCTGAATCTCCTGTTCCCTAAGTTAAGGTGCCAACGTCTTCATGTGCATTTCTTTGCTGGTTGTTCGAGACAGAGGCAGTAGCATCGGCAGTGACAACACTGTCAGCGTTTTGAAGCGACCCAGTTTCCATCCATCGGCCCATTGAAAGAATGGATTTGATTCAACACACAATTCATAACTGCCGGTATCATATTGTCACGTGTATTTGGAGTGTGTGACTACAGACGGTGTATGGATTAGTAAAGTAAAGATATTCCTGTAACAGGCCGTGGAGGCCAATAGGATTGTGAGACGTCGAGGTTCCCTTGAGGTTTCTCTAGACAATCAGCTCAAATTTGGCGGTGAGTTTGTCAGCCTTACGCGCCAACTACCCTTTACCGCCAGGAAGATTCCTGATACTCAATTCCGTTAGAGGCGAAGTCGACCCCAGGGCCACAGTGCGGCTTGAAGGATTAGGTAAATTTAAAAAATCCAATGTCCTCATCGCAAATCGAAACCGCGACATTCCGGCTTGAAGCACAGTTCCTCAACCAACTACGCTACCGTGTGCACCGGGGTATGGATTGGTGATCGGATTCATTGACCACTTTTCTACACCACCCGGAACTACATTTCACAGATCACTGACACACAGACTAATGTCTTCAGTCTATTACAGTCTCCACTAGCAGTTTCCTGACAACGGCTTCTAACAGGGGAAATTCTTCAGCTTTCCGCACTCTGGTCCTTTTGTTACAGCAGCCCGTGCAGATCTCCTGTCGAAAACTCAACTGACTGGGTCCCAGGCTGGCGGCCATTTCACACCAACCTCCTAGTCTTATCTTCCCAGGCTGACTTGCAACTGACAATCGAGCCCTCTCACTCACGAACCAGCTACTTCACGTCACTTCACTCAACTGACCCTGCTTATATTTCGCCACGAACCACATAGAGAAAACACAGTTTTCACTCTTAAAGTCCAACAAGACATCGACCGTTGCATGAGGACCCATAGCGGCGGGAACATGTTCACCGAGCAGTTGCCTAGTGATAGCCCGGGTTTTGTTGACGTGTCTATAGGTCGTTGCTTAGAAACGAGTGTTTGTTTATCGCCCATTGCATAGCAACGGTTTCACTCGTCCGTGTCGAGGTCTCTGCCCAGCAACGGGTCTATATGCCACAATATTTTAAGTTTAAATTGCTGTGAATACTTAAATCTAATTAAATTTTTTACAATTTCACAATATAAAAACCCAAGGATTTAAGTACATGTGCGGGTGGGAAGTATGCAAGTAAAACCACGCATCATCAGAAAAGAATGCCAATTGCGGATTGATCTGAACTTCAACGACAGACTGTGGAAACAACTGCAAAACCAATCCTGCTAGCTGGATCGTGTGGCTGAAAGGAGTGGATGACTGTTGTTCTATAGAGTCTAAGCTTCAGCAATTGTGTTGTCATTCTTGTACTAGACATTGACACTCCAGTCTCTTCAGTTAGATGTTTCACTGATTTTCTAGGTGTAGGTTCAATTCATCTAACTTTTCCTCTGCAAGTACTCAGCGCTCATGATTTTGTTTCTTGTTTCTTAGAGTCCCGTTGATTTAAGTTTATTCATTGAATTGTGAATTGTTTGTCTGCTGGAAACTCTTTCATCACGAATTTACGACAAAAATTTCAACGACATTTCCAGCAGATCCGTATTTCACATAGATGCCATACAGAGATATGTGTTGCTCTCAAGTATACCGCACCACGACGTAACACGCTGCTCACTAATAGTAACTGAGAACAACTGGCTAAGGGAGCTGATATTTGCTGCCCACTGCTGACAAATCATAAACAAATTCCCACGCATAAACCTCATTGCTCAACATGAAACATAATGCCGTCAAGCGACCCACAAAATGAATAATTTTCTTTAATTCTAAATGTTATCGGACATCAGACATAACTCATTCGTCGGCAAATTTCGTATGTGCCTTGCAGCCGGCCGTGCACCGGTCGACGTGAACCGGCCAGCATATGTGTAAGTAAGAACCTCCCTGTATATCTGATTGGGAATTTCATGAGTAACCGAACGACTATAAGCTTTTCATGAAGGCTTCCGCTCCATAGTTTTACAAAATATAAAAATAACATAACAGCCACATAATTTGCATGACCACGATGACGTTACAAATTACAGAAGTTCATAATTAATGAATGTTATTATTTTAAGACAAAAGAAAATGCTATATTTTCAAGACGGAATCGGGCAATGCAGTTCGTAAATATTTAGATTTACCTGAAAGCACGAGACTTCGAAAATCTTCTACTGTGGAAATTAATAAACATAAAGAGCTGAATCTTACAACTAAGATTATAAACTCATTATAATTCCAATAATTACACACTGAAAAAATAAGTACTTACTTAAGATAGTCTTATCTATCGATGGATCCAAGCGGATATTGGTATCTGCTGGAAACATGGCATGAAACTTGCATTTTTCTGGAAAGAAAAATATATCACTTTTAGCAATTAAATAAATTATTTTGATTAAATGGCACTTGGCTAGGTTCCTCAGAGCGCAGTTATGTTGCCTCACGGATCCTCACGCGCCGAAGCCTGGCGAGCAACTGAAGTAATGTGGACGAAGATATACGAGCACAAGTAAAAGCCAGACGAGTCTCCCGACGAGCACAAGCCTGGCGAGCACGAGCACGAGTAATGTGGACGCGCCTTAAGACTCATTCTTGAGTAACAATATTCTCCTCAGCGTTAAATACCCTCAGTCTGTGTTCTTCCCTTTTTACTTTCCCTCGAGACTTCAATTCGTATGCGTTGGTTAGTGCGCAGTTGGTATCTACTCCTCTTGCGCTTCTTCGGCCCTACTGTAGCGATGACTTATTCTTCAAAATTCTTCTGTATATTTTCTGAAATTTATTCAACGTGGAATTTGTTTGAGATACAGGATCTGACATTGCTTAAATTAAAAATTTTAAATTTGCCTGTCTCGTAACTTGTCATATCGTCCACATTACTCGCGAGCATAGCGAGTCACACGAGCACGAGTAATGTGGACGCGTCTTAAGGGTTTGCGGGGCCCCAGGGATATGAAAAATGTGGTGGGGGATGGGTGTGTGCTTTACTGAGAGCGAAGAAGAAACAGAGGAACAGTGAAAAGAAAACAAGTAGCTTCATAATTTGTACTCTTCGTAAAACGTCATTGGGACCATCAGATCAAGGAGGATGAGACAGGTGGGGCTACATAGCACTGATGATGGGATGAGAAATTAATTCAATATTTGGGCTCAAAAACTCTAAAAGACGAGAGCTCATACGATATAAAAAGGTAAAGAGATCCCTGTAACAGGCCGTGAAGGCCCATAGGGTTGTGAGACGTTGAGGGTCCCACATTTTTTAGATAGTCGGCCCATAGATGGTTGTAAATTTGTCAGCCTTACGCGCCGGCCGCCCTTTACCCCCAAGAACATCCAAGAATATACCTGATACTCATTTCTGTTAGGGGCTGAGTCGACCCCACCTCAGTGCCCTAGTGCTCTTGGAGGGATTAGGTCAATTTATAAAACCCAATGACCTCATCGGGATTTGATCCCGCGACCTTCAGGTTTGTAGCATAGTGCTAACGCGCGCCCCTTTCTTCCGATAAGCAGACGTAATATTAAAATGGGTCTTAAAGAAATGAAGACCGGATTCAACACAAGATTTATATCTTCTGGTTTTTAATGCCGTGTGGTCTGTTGAAAGTCAAACGACATTTCGACGGAGAATATGACCACCATCTTCAGGAGCGAAAATAGTACTCTTCTTAACCACGCCTGTAGAACCTCGAATCCTACATAGAATTCGACTGGCTCACGATGGAGTTCGTTCTCGTGAACGCGGTGTTAAGTCAGTGTATCTCAGAACAGAAGCGGAGCTTCTTGAATAGCTGAGAGCCATCAGCTTCTCATGAAGGACCCCACTCAATGAAATTAAGAGTGACATATGACAACGTTAGAAACCAATCTTCTGCAAAATTTTTCACCAATATTCATTGTTCTTCACTGTAGCGTTCTCCCCTGTCTTCAGTTCATTATAAAATGAGAAATAATTCCTTACGTGTGGGGTACGTCTGACATTCTGTCTGTGACCTAGTAGGAGCATTTGTACCAAAGGACAGATTCTCTTTAAACTCCGTGTGGTTGACTTTCACTAAGAATTTCTAAGCAAATCCGATTTTCAGCCATACTGATTCATATTCATACATAGTTTACGTAAAACTATAAATGGACCATGCAGTGTATCCCATAAACCCTTTTCACTGTTCGTTGAAATTCGATATGGAACGAAAACAAACTCTGTGGGCTGTAGTCTGCAAGCGAACTATACCGACAGGGCGACCGCCGCTTGTCGGCGAAGTTAGTGCCAACATCTGCGGATAGAGGGTGTCGAGTGGTCAGCGCAACGGATTTCCACGGCCGTTAATTTCGGTTTTCTAGACCGGAGTCGCTATTTCCTTGCAACAGCTTCTCCGTTCCAGACCCACCACTTCTAAGAAAATCTGGTAGCGCCGAGAATAGAACCCAGGACCTCTGGATCTGTAGCCAAAAACTCTGAACACTAGTCGACAGAGGCGGTCTTCGATAGGGAACACTTCCATCGAAATTTCTCTGCCAATTCGATTCCAGTCAGACCCCTCTATATTAAAGCCTAGTCTGTGTCACACCATACGTGGAATTATCCAAGTACCCCATATTCTCCCTCCAATTCCACTAGTAGATTTTCAGTACTTTGTATTTCATTATTCTTATTTTAATTTAAAATTAAGCTGCGACAGCTCAGTCGGTATAGTGACGAACTGCGGGCTACACAGCAGGGGTTCGATTCCCGGGAGGCCCAAGAGATTTTTCACTGATATACAGAGTCCAGACCGGCTCTGCGGCCCACCTAATCTCCTATCTAATAGGTGTCGGCAGATTTATTCACGGAGGTAAAGAGGCCATAGCGAGAAGCTGACGACTCAGTCCCATCTAAAGCAGAAGTCAAGAAAGGATAGCTACATTTTCAGTCCCCAATATATCTTCCTGGCGTGGTGCTTAATTAATTAACCACAGGGACAACTTTACCTTCTACCGTTAACATTTCTTATTCTTACATAAAGTACGCGTATTAAATGTCAGAGCTGGGCAACGGCAATTCTGTGAACACCCCTTTATAGCTCTTCTCGACACTGTCAGTATTTGGAACACATTTCGTGGAATGGTAAGAAGCAGGGCCCGGATTTTGATGACATGTCATCTTTTTTTCCTTGTATCCTATGCAATGCTCTTAAATATATTAATCTCGGATATGAGCTGCTGGTTACAGAAATGTAAATTTTATAGGTAATTTTTATCATTTTTTGACATTTTTAGGTTTAAGGTCATTTTTTTTCATTTTGGGGGTAATTTTTTGGTATATTTTTGGACTTTTAAGGGTATTTCTTGTCATTTTTGGCCATTTTAGGGAATTTTTCTTCATATATTATCTGAAATGTGAATAACATGGAAGCGAAGTGTTCTTTCTTTTCTCCTTTAGGTCATTTTTCTGGATTTTTCGGTCATTTTATAGGTAATTTTTTTAATATTTTCAGGTCATCAAAATCCGGGCCCTGCATATTACATTTTGGGTCATATTTTAGGTAATTTTTCTGGATTTTTTCGGTCATTTTATAGGTCATTTTTTTTTAAATATTTTCAGGTCATCAAAATCCGGGCCATGGAAGAAATAATGAATGGTTAATTGTAAAGGATTTGGAAGAATGCCGTCGTGTTGTAATTGAAATAATTTTATGGTTCACTTCACGACGTTTGCCAATATCTAAACTGTATAGCATCCAGTATCGTGATGATTTGTCAATGAGAAGCAGTCCTGACCCAATCGAGATATTATTCCGAAATGTACTCCTCTCCGATTGAATGTTGCTCCTGCGAGAACGTTATCAGCGCTACTCTGGAATATTAAGCAAACCCGTGTCTGGACTGCGTGTCGTGCAATTGCCACGACTGGGAATACACGAACCCATTCCATGTCTACACTCACATGCACACGAGTGCACACTGGCACGCGCGTTACACACACTCAGGTGAATACACGTAAAAGGTAAAAAAAAAAGTTAAAGCTATCCCTTAACAGGCCGTGGCGACACATAGGGTTGTGAGAAGTCTAGACAATCGCCTCATACATGGAGGTGAGGTTGTCAGCCTTTAGCGCAGGGCGCCCCTAACCCCTCCAGGAAGATACCCATTTCTGTTAGAGGCTGAGTCGAACCTAGGGACATAGTGCGGTTGGAAGGATTAGGTATATTGAAAATCCATTGATCTCAGTAGGAAACGAACCCGCCACCATCCGGATTGTAGCATAGAGCCTCAACCAACTATGCTAGCGCGTGCCCCACACAAATACGTAGAACTCAGATATACAATAACACGCACGCACACACGCACGCACGCACACACACACACACACAAACACAAGTAAATATGGATCACATTTGCATCACTGGGACTCCAGTATTAGAATAGTGACGGTATTTATTGTTCATAAAGAACACACGTGTCGGCTGAACGTATGGTAGATATCAAAGCACGGTTTTTCAAAATGGGGATCGCGACCCACTGTAAGGGGGGGGAGGGCAGAACTAGCGGAGTTGTCAGGAATTATTTAAAAGAATGCTATTTTTTTATTGCTAGTGGGGTTGGACTAAGTCTCTTGTACTGCGGCCACTTCTGGTCTATTTTACCAGCCCCAGATGATAGGTGAGGGTGATTCTGGAGCAATTGGTGGAACGAAGATTGGCAGGGGAAACCGAAGTGCTCGGAGAAAACCTGCCCCAGCGCCACTTTGTCCACCACAAATCCCACTTGACCAGACCCGGGATCGAACCCGGACCGCCGTGATAGCAAGCCAGAGACTAACCGCTTGAACTATGGCGCGGCCCCATTTAAAGACAGTCACAGCCATGTGCAGCTCTGGCAACTTAGTACAATATAATCATGGAACGTTCGTAAAACGTAGCTACAGCCGGTGATACATTTCACTATTTTTTTTAGTGACCGTACAGGAACATTTTATGGCTTACTGTTGATATAGTTATTTATGTTCCTGATGTCACAGTGCATCATGGGGGCGGGAGGGAATTCACCTAAATTTGTGTGTTATTTTACGGGATAAAAGGATCACAAAGTTTGCAATACCTGCAGCGTTGGATTTGGGGGTTGAATTTTCTCGTTTCAAGTCTTTATTTCTCTTCTTGATTTCGTAACTGAGTTCTTTGTACACATTCAGGAGGCCGTGGTCCCGTTCCAAGGCTGAATATTGTGATTGAAAATTTCCGCAGTTCTTCTCAGTCATTCAAGATAAATTAAGGTGTAGCATCTACAATAGATTCCTTCTACGTCTTCACTTAAGCCATCACTCACGAGCCTACAGCATTCCTTCATTTCCTTTACATTACAGCGCAGGTT